TGGAGGACCCAGAATCAAAACTGCATTATCTCCAAAGTGAACCTATATATGGAGAAAAACAGATTCCACTCTGTGAATGATCCACACAGAAATTGAAAAGAAACTGGAATATCTAAATATAGTTCTTAAATTACAAACTGTTCTGAGGAAAGAAAAGTAGTAATTTCATTTTCAGGGTTATAAGTAAATGCAAGTCATTATTTAAAGGCAATTTATTCTATTAAAATTCTTAACCTAACCCAAAGTCAGCCATGGGTATTTGAACACATTCTTTGTCTGCCGCTACTGCCTGAAGGAACATACTTGTGTAGCACTTCTGATAATGTCCTGGAAGACTTTGACCTAGCAGAGCCTCCCCCAAGAAGCAGTTGGACATGTCAGAACAGCCTTCTCAGGGCTCTTGAGGTTGACCAACGACCAATATGGTGAACGGTGTTGACTCACCAAGCACTGCTGAATTTTGGGTAAGAATATTAGGAGTATTTGATGCTCTTGCCCCAGGCTATTTATTCTCCACCACTTGGCTCCTGAAGCATTTGTACTAGGGTGGGGTTAGTCATGGAAAACAGCTGCTTTATTTTCTAAGAAAATTAATGGATTACTAGGCACAGAGGGAAGAAAATTCATTCTCAGCTCTGACTGGGAACACTTTGCTGTCTTCCAACTTAAGCCTACAGTCATGGTTGGGCCAAGTGGAATAAACAATGGATAAGACAGGAATTTAATAGGAAGCTGTTGGAAATGGGAGAATTCCAGAGGGGCTTGGTAAACTTTTCTAAACTTCTACTGTCAGGGCAGCTATACAAACACATATATAACATATAAAGTCATATGAGGAAAAGAGAAACTATTAAACAATGAACAGAACAAAGACAAAGACAGAACAAAGAAACATGCCTAAACACACACACATCTAAGCACACACGTACATACATACACGTGCACATACACATGCACACACACAATTAAAATTGTCCATTGTGACTGTCCTCCTGTTGTTCATCGATTTGCTCAAGCGGGCCCAGCAACATCTCCATTTTGAGACTTGTTGTTACTGTGTTTGGCATATTGAATACATCACGGGAAACTTGCCAGGCTTTGCCCTGCGGGCGAGATACTCTCGGTAGCTTGCCAGGCTCTCCGAGATGGGCAGAGGAATCGAACCCAGCTCTGCCGGGCTGACTGCGTGCAAGGCAAACGCCCTACCACTGTGCTATCACACAATTAAAATCGTAGACGTAAATCCAACCACCTAAAAATAACATCAATGCAATGAACTAAGTATGCCAATCAAAGGACAAGAGACTGTATGCCAATTAAAAATATAAATGCAAGACCGGAGAGATAGCTTGCCATTCATGTGGCCAACATTGGTTCAATTCCCAGAACCAGACACGATCTGGTAAGCCCTGACAGTAGAGATCCCTGAGCACAGAACCAGGAGTAACCCCTCAGCCCTGCTCGTTGTGGCCCCCCAAGCCCAAAACAAATAACAAAAGAAATCCAACTACATGTTTTTTATGCTTTCCCTTTAAAAATAAAAAAAAATCTTACTCAAAAAACATGGAGAAAGTTATGTTTCTCTTCAGATCGCATGTAATACAAACAATATTAATAAATTGACCACTATATCAGCAAATTATACCAATTCTAATATTCATTTTGGAACTAATTATGTTCCAAAATACATGAAACAAGCATAAAATTTACAGTAAGAGTAGGCAAACAAAAAACAAAAGAAAGAAAAGATATGAAGAGCATGATAAGTCAACTTACTCTAAAAAATATCATAAGCATTTTTACACAATGATAAAATATACACTTTTCAAGTGGACATGGCAAATTTCCCAGAACACATTATACTTTAAGACTATTCTGAATCTCAATAAATTTAAAGAGATTTTATATAAACTACGTACTTCAACCGCATAAAATTAAATTAGGAACAAATAAGGGGAAAAAGGAAATTCTCCAATAAAAAGCACATAAATAATCCATTAGTAAAATAAAAATCACAGGGTATATTAGAAAATATTTTAATTAAATAGAAAATTAAAAAATCAACATCTATAGAAGACAGTTAAGTGTTTGAAAACAGTATAGCATTAAACATAAAAAAAGGAAAAAACTCATTAAAAACACATAAAAAAAGAAAAGAAAGAAAAAAGTATCCTCAACTTTCCCACTTACTCTCCCACTTAAAACAAATAGATAAAAAAAAGTACAAGAATAACCTAAAGGAAGCAGGGAAAGGACATCATAGTGCAATAGAAACAAGTAAAACAGAAAATTGAAAAGGCAAGAGAAAAATCAGTGAAATCAGACGTCAAATTTCTGTAAAGATAAACAAAACTTAGCTAAACTAAGGAAGAAGGAGAAAAGCTCAATTGCCACAGATGAAAGAGAAAACAAAACATTAACCAGCAAATCAGACAGAAGGCAAAATGGAGAGATTTATAGAATGCAATAGAGTCTTAGAACAAAGTCAATTAAGAAATTGGATCAGATCAGTAATAAAGAATTCTTCCCACAAAGAAAAACCCAAACTGGTTTCGCTGGTGACTTCTAACAAATGTTTTAAGAGAAATACTAATACAATGATGAGTTGTTCAGAAAATAGAGAACAATTTCAACTCATTCTGAGCTGCCAATGTGACTTTGATGTCAATGTCAGAAAAACCAAACACACACAAAAATGGCAGATTAGTATTTCTCATGGACATTTAAAAATCCCTGTGAAATTGCATATCAAATCAGCAATTTTTTCTCTATTTTCTCTTTTTTATTTTTTATTGAACCACCATAAGCAACACTTACAAAGCTTTCATGTTTGAGTTTCAGTCATACAATGATGGAACACCCAGCCCTTTACCAGTGTACATTTTCCACCAGCAATATCCCCAGTATTCCTCCCCCCACTCTCAGTATCCCACCCCTCTCCCTTTCTCTATGGAAGACAGTTTCCCTCCTACTCTCTCTCTACTTGTGGGCGTTATTGTTTGCAATACAGATACTGAGAGGCCATTATGTTTGGTCCTTTATTTACTTTCAGCTCACATCTCCCTTCCTGAGGGATCCCTCCAACCATCATTGACTTAGTGATCCCTTCTCTATCCCAGTTTCCCTCTCCTCAGCTCATAAGTCAGGCTTCCAACCACGGAGCAATCTTCCTCGCCCTATTTCTACTGTCCTTGGGTGTTAGTCTCACAATACCCAGATTCTGGAAACAACCCAAGTGCCCAAGAACAGACAACTGGTTAAAGAAACTTTGGTACATCTATAAAATGGAATACTATGCAGCTATTAGGAAAGATGAAGTTATAAAATTTGCTTATAAGTGGAGGGTCATGGAGAGTATCGTGCTAAGTGAAGTGAGTCAAAAAGAGGGATAGACATAGAATGACTATGCTTATATGTAGAATATAAAATATCAAATCAGCAATTCTTAGAGTATACTCTTGCGAGTACACCCCAAATAGGATTTATCCTCAAATACAAGTATGATTTAATAGTTGAAAATCAGAAAATGTGACATATCATATTTATAAAATGAGTATCACCCCCATCCCCAATCCCTAGAAGGCCCATATAAGTGTTAGCATGTCTGGAAAACTTTCTGACAAGATTCAGGTTTGTAATCATAGGTTTTGGACAGCCTAACAGAGTTTTAGGAAGATGAAAACGTGGCTTGTGACCTCCCTAGTTTTAACTGTGAAGTCTGAAACAGCAGTTCACTACACCATTTTCTCTTTTTTCTACCATAGGAACAGTGCCACTGGGAGACAGTCTGAGGTGAGCACTTCTGAGATCCTAAAGCTGCAAACAAAGCTATCAGTGGCAGAGCTGAAAGGGTGGCTGCAAGGCCAAGTTCTGCCTCATGCAGAGGGCACAGCAGGAAGACCTGTTGTTCATGCTGCCATGAGAATGAGGGCAGGTACCTGTGGAGGCTTGGCAGATGCCTTTCCCCCACCCCACCCCCTTTTTCCTCAGGATGAAACATTTCATCCTTCCTGGTTACTATTTCTAAGAGATGATATTCTATGTGTTCTGGGTTCCTAAAAGTTTTTAACTGTCACAGATACATGATGATGATGATGATGATGATTATGATGTGCTTTTCAATATTTGATAAGGGCTGTAAAAGCCAGAGGCTGTTAGCTTCTCCAGCTTTGAACTCCAAGCACTTGAGTTCATAGTTTCAAACTCTCATTTAACATCTTGATGTTTCATACCCTGTGCCTGAAATCTCAGCATTTGTAAGAAAACAACTGACTTTCTGCTGTGACAACAGCTATAGCTATCAGCTGAAAACAAGTGAAACAGTGTTCAAAATCCAGGCAGGCGGTTCAGGGCTGCCAATCATCACCCAAGCAAAGTATGCCCAAGTCATCTCAGAAGTAAGTCAGCCTGTCCATATTGACTTAATACACCATTCTATGAACCTGTGAACCCTCCACTATGAGGATGGACTCTGCAGACCCTTAATTCTAACCAGCTTCTTACTCTCTGCATTTTGTGTGCGGCAAATCATAATCTCTGTGAAGATTTGCAAAACCAGCCACTGAACCCATTCCCATGAGCACTATGGCACGGGAGGCAAATAGAAAACTTGTAAAACTGTATGTAAAGAGACAAACCTCCCTGGACTAGGGATTTCTGAACTATAAATGCTGGGGATGGACTTCTCTTGGGGAAGGGATAAATGACAGTGGGAAGTGACCTGCTGGCAATGCTTAAGTCCACTAGTAGCCCTGCTTCATACCCTACATGATTTCTTGCCAGAGTCCCTGTCAAAGGCCACAGTCAGCCTTGGTCATCTAAACTTTCTCCATTCCTGCCATCTCCCATAAATAGTCAAAGTTTAAGGAACACCATAAAGGCTTTCTGTCCCTTTGCATTTGTAGGCGTGCATCAAAGCCCTACTTTCTGCCAGGCACACATGGATCCTATAGTGTTTCCACTGCCCATCCCTGCAGACCTGTGATAACATGCTATCTGACCTCCAGCTCCTGGAATTCCTCCTCCTCCTCCACGTCATAGGAGAGTGTGTGGATCTTGATGTCATCTGAGGAGAGGTCGATGAACTTTCCATCGGGGTACTCCAGGCTCTCTTTGGTGGGTGACCGTTCCTCAATAAAGGTGGTCTCACAGCACTCATTGGCCACCCCATCTCCCCAGGAGTGCAGTACACCATCTGAGTAGAGGAGGATGTTGGGGCGATAGTGGGATTCCACGGACTGTTGCAAGGTATTGGGGTCCAGCAGTTGTTGCACTGGCTCATTCCTGTTGCTGTCCAGAGTGGCTGGAGCTGCACTGGTCACCCCCCGCCTGCTCTGGTACTGAGGTGCTGGGTAAACAGACACCAGGCCATCTCTGCTTTCAGCCATGAACTTTCTGGTGTTAATTAAGCCATTCCTCTTGCCTGCATCGCTGATCTTGCTGTGTGTCAGCATGGTCTTCTGTTCAATGATGCCCTCCATGGTGCTCTTCTCCCTGGCCGGTGCCAGGTGGGTGGGCTGGACTTGAAGGTTAGACTTGCCTCACAGGACCCATTTCTCCTGAGGGAGAGGAAGCACAGATAAGAAAAGAAAAGCACACTTGAAAAGTGTTAATCTTGTGGTCTGAAAGATCCTACCTTAGGTTGAGGACTTCTTTTCCACACCACCAGCCCAGTTTTCCTTCCTATCACCATATATGGTCCCACACACCACTAGAAGTGAGTGCAGAGCCAGGAGTGTGCCCTGAACACCACAGAGTGTGCTCCACATCCCCCGAGACAAAACAAAAATTGTTCATCCCCAAGACTTTTATTTCAGATAAACCCTTATTTTCAGTCTGACACACATAGTAGCTGGGAAGTCAACTGATATCCTTCTCCTAAATATTCTGCCAATTAGCACAGTGGTAGGGCGTTTGCCTTGCACGCAGTCGACATGGCCGACCCGAGTTTGATTCCTCCGCCCCTCTCGGAGAGCCCGGCAAGCTACGGAGAGTATCTCGCCCGCACGGCAGAGCCTGGCAAGCTCCCCGTGATGTATTCAATATGCCAGACACAGTAACAACAAAGTCTCCAATGGCGACGTTACTGGGCCCGCTCTTGAGCAAATCGATGATCAATGGGAGGGCCTTTACTTTACTTTAAAAAATATTGTCCCTATCAGGACAGCCAGCCGAAAAAATAACTGAAGTTAACCCAACCTCATCAGCATAGAAAGAGTCCATAGAAAAAATAAGGTGGCAAGTCTGGAATGGAAATTAACTTGTCCCAGGTTCATGTTATTTTTTTTTCATTTGAGCACACACCTAAGGAAAAAAGGCTTTAAAATAACATTCCCCCCAATATATTTTGAAATAAATGACAGGAAGACTCACACCATTAATACTGTATCAGAGCATATTCTCTAGCTGAGAAAATGCATGTGCAGTCTAAAACATAATAAAGTCCCTATTATTCTCACAAACTAGCACCTATCTACCTGCCATGCTTCCAGATGGTCCCAGGAATAGGATTGGAATCTTCCAACTTAATGATGACCAAGTTAAAGTTATACACTGGGGATGCAATTATAGATGATTCCAAACTTTTCTTCCTAAGTAATGATCTTTTCTAGGATTATAAGTGTTAAAAAAAGAAAAAGGAAGAAACTTAAGTTTAAGAATTTTGGAGATAGGAACTGAAGAGATTATACAGTGGTTAGAGCACTTGCCTTGCATGTGGCAAACCCAGGTTTCATTCCTGCCACCTCATATGGTCCCCTAAGCAACTGCCAAGAATAGCCAAGAGTAATTCCTGAGCATGAGTCAGAACTGTCACTGTCACTGTCCTCCCGTTGTTCATCAATTTTCTTGAGTGGGCCCAGTAACATCTCCAAGTGTGAGATTACATCCTGAAAATTACCAGGTGTGGCCCAAACACTCCTCCACACCACCAAAAAAAAGAATTATGGAGATAACTAATAAATTTTCTCAGATTCCCCTCCTTTTCACACTGACAAAAGTAGGACAGAGAAAGAATATCATTGTGACTAGCTGGATAATTTGAAAGAATTTCAATACAATTAACAAGAAGCTAGTCAAACTACCATCTATGAACTGAATAATAGTGTATATATTTTTTGATGCTTTTGTTTTGGGACCAGACCTGGAAATACTCAGGCTTACTCCTAGCTCTTAAGTTAGGAATTACTCCTCCACCTTGCACGTTCTCAGATCATATGGATGCCAGGGATTGAACCTGGGTCAGCTATGCACAAGGCAAGAATCCTCCTCACTGTACTATTGCCCTGGCCCCAGTAGTATATATGGTTAAAGTGATCACCATCCATTTGAAGAGAAGCCAAAACACACACAGTCACCTCTACTAAGGTGGTGCTTAGCTCTGGAGGCACATTCATACTCATAATCAAAACCACTAATTAAAACAGTAGAATTAGATCTTCTGAGCACCTGCCATATTCAAGGCACAGTATGCATATGAGCATCAGCCCCATTGATGATTTTCTATCTTAGCACGCTATGCTTACTGCTGAATTTTTGGCCCAAACTCTTGACTTCTGTAATCCTTTAACGGAAATTTCTGGTTACTCTCAACATCGAGCGATGTACACAGTTCATGATTGGTTGGGTGAGTTACCCAGACTGGATATTTTATAGCTCAGTTCCATTTTGAGGACTTAACAGCTTCTGCACAGATTTGGTCTCTTTTGGTGGTACCTGTTCAAGTTCTCCTCCACGGAGTTGCTTGTGCTTGCCCAGTCTGAGTAACATCTCCCTTTTCTGTTTTCTCATCCGCCGTGCTATTTTTTTCCCACAGCACCTTCATCATCCTTCTCTGCCACCCTTAAAGTCACTACTTGGCAACAGCCTCTCAGTCCTTGTCCGGAGGTGTTTGGTTGAAGACCCAGAGGAACCTTTTTCTTTTCTAGCACCTTGGATATAGCAAGTAAGTACTCAGTGAATGTCTTTTGAAAGAAAAGTGTATATTGTTACAATAATCCCAATTCAGTGATAATCTTCTGCAGATGTATAAGCCCCACATATGCCTCCGATATCCCAACATCTTAAACCAGGCACAGCTCAGCTCTACTATCACTGTAGTTTTCACCCTGAGTGGCTGCTAAAACCCGCAGATCAGTGTCACCTGGATATTGTTAGAAAGGAAGAATACCAACTGGATCAACTAAGTCTATCTGCGATTCTTATAGCCCCAAACCCCCAACCCCAGCCGCAGAGCTTGGAGGCCATGAGGGGCACCATGGCATGTGGTACCAAAGATCAAACTCAGGGCCTTAAGTGTGCTAAGTTTGTGCTCTTCCCAGCCCTCAATCTTTATTTTACATGATTACAAGTAATTATACATTGAAACTTAAGGGCACAGGTATGCAAGCCCAGTGAAATCTTGATTTATACAAGATAGCTTGGCTATACAAAGGATATTTTATTTGTTTATTGGTTTTTGGGTCACACCCAGCGATGTTCAGGGGTTACTCTTGGCTCTGCACTCAGGAATCACTCCTGGTGGTGCTCAGGGGACCACATGGGATGCCAGGGATTGAACCCGGGTCGGCTACATGCAAAACACATGCCCTACCTGCTGTACTATGGCTCTGGCCCCCCACCCATTTATATTTTTAAAGAAGTATTCAAATAAAAATATCAAGCAATTTATGTACCTAAAAAGCACTACTTTCCATTAAAGCAAATTTTTCAATATGGAACATCATAAATTATGATTATGTTTAAGTAAAAGGGGCTGAAAATACTAGTATTTTATTCTTGTAAATATCTGTGAACAAAGACTATTTGCCATGTACTTTGTGTTTAATTCTGTAAAACCTGTGTGTGTATTTTCAGAGGTAAAATGGGAAAAGCAAGTCAGTGCTGTGAGCAGCTGGGGTTATTGCCCTGACTTATTACTGAGGTTTTCTAAAATCTTACCCAGTGCTTCAGCACTTTTCTTTTAATGCTCTGATAAAAACATTATTGCTTATATTACACAAGAACCACAACTTTATTTTGAATTTTTTCCTCTGCCTATGATTTTCCGAGCCAGCAATACAAAGAAGCAAACCTCTCATTTATTTCTGATTCTCTTCCATGTCTAGAATATTGTATGATGCTGAAAAGTTGTTTTTTAGTGCTCTAGAGATAGTACAACAAGTAAGGCAACTGACTTGTGTGTGGTCTGCAGTTGATCTTAGTTAAATCTCTGGCACTGCATATGGACCTTGGTCCTTGTCAGGAGTAAACCCTGAGCACAACCATTCTGTGGTCCCAAAACACCAACAGTGGTCCCAAAACAACAACAAATTTTAATAAAAAATAAAGAAAAAGGAAAAGAAAAAGAAAAAAGAAGAAAAGTTCTTTGGAGTCTGCACCTGTAGCTGAGCTCCCAATTTCATCCTTTGAGTAAGGCCTTTAACTTGGAGCCAGGTTTTTTTGTTGTTGTATGTTTGTCTGTTTGCTTTGTATTTTCATTTTATAAAGTCTGGCATGAAAAGTTGGTTAAAATACATCACTAGTGAGCCAGGCCATGTCTGTTGTTTATGGACTGTTGGCTCAGAGAAGAGGATAAAGTGAGAGGACCCTCAACATCCCTGCATCTGAGCCCTAGTTATCTTACCTGATGAGTTATTCACATAGAGTTTGGGGGGATTATTAGTTAGATAAGAGGACTAACAATACATATACACACATGCATGACAAAGTATATGAACCTGTTCAAATTCTTATGTTACATATAATATTGTTTTTTGTTTTGACTTTTGATTTTGGGTTATAGCTGGTGGCCAGATCTGGGTAATATCAGGGCTCACTCTTGGATCCACATTCAGGGATCACTCCTGGTGAGGGACTCAGGAGACCTTAAGTGTTTCTAGGGATCAAAATGGGATTGGCTGCATGCGAGAAAGCATCCTACCTGTTATACTATCTATCCACTCCTGAAGCTCATTCTGTTTTACTTTGAGACCATTATGACATAGAGTTCAATAATATGTGAAGAAAATCTGTACTCAGTCCCAGTTTTAAAATGAACTGTATGCATAATCTTGAGAAAATTGCTTAAGAAAAGGGAATTATAAAGCTACTGAGCAAAGTAAGTATTCAGATACCTTTTAGCTCTATAATTTGTATTTCATGGTGCACAAGTTTTAGGGTTTGGGGAATTAGATACATTTTGTCACAAGGTAGAGAAGACTCTCACACTGGTCATAATAGGTAATGTTTCAGCTCAATAAAATAATAATCTATTCAACTGCTATTATTTCAAGTCATTGTAGTTGGTGCTAATTGGTATACAAATATTACTCTCTAATATGAAAACAGGAATAAATAAAATAGAAGGCAATTTTAAAAGTCTGCATAAGCAGCTAGACATTGAACATACCAAAAACTTATACAACATACAACTGAAATCAAGTATTTAAAAATGGTATATTTCTGGGTGTTTATGTTTCAAGTATACCATAAAATTATACAACATACAACTAAAATAAAATATTTCAAGAAAAGAGAAATCAAGAAAAGAGAAATTATGAGAGAACAACATAAATTAAAA